GTGTCGGTTGTCTGAACGTCAAGGTCTCGAAAAAGCGCTAGTGAGAGGAGTTGCACACACGTGTCGGTTATTAACCGATCACGCTTGCACAGATCACAGCTCCAAGGACTCGACCTTCTTGGGAAGCAGAGCGTTCGCAATGCCATCCCCGTGGCCGAGGCAGCCGTACATGCCGCTGCCCCAGGTGAAGACGGCGCCGTTGGCGGTGACAGTGAGGCTGTGTTCGGATCCCGCCGAAACGGCGACGACGCGCTGCCCTGCCAACGCTGCTCAGCAAGCAAGTTTTCTCCGACGAAAAGGCGAGCCGAAGCGAGATAGGCGGATGAATGAATAAGGGGAAAGATGGACAGACACTTCACGGGCACCACGATGAGGACACCTCTGTGGAACTTTGCCTCAAACCTGTGCCTGCCCGAGTCTGGGTTGTCGCTCCATGAGAGCGTCTCTCGCGACGCTGCTGTTCGGCCTCGCGCTCCACCTTTCCTCCTCTGTCGTGCTCGCGGCACCGAAGAAGAAGAAGCGCGGGCCTGGGGGGGGGAACGAGCAGACCAAGATGTTCAACGGTGCCCCGGCCGGTTTCGAGGATGGAGGGCTAACCGCACAGGAGTGCTATGAGTTCGCGCGGTCAACTTGGAAGGAGCTCGCACCCAGGTGGGCAGATGAGATCAAGCCTCTCCTTGAGCAGGCCGTCAAGGAGTGGTAGGTAGTAGCGAAGAGTGGAGAGTACTCTGGTTTACCTCTTGTTTAGCAGAATGCTCTCACGTAAAAAGACATGCAAAAGGGGGGAGGAGGACGGTGGCACGGCTCGGCTTTTCTTGCCCTCATGCAGTGCGGGTCGCGAGTCGGCTCACTGAGGGATACACTCTGTCCGGATGACCGCCGCGCCGGACCACGGCGGCGACGCGAGGGTGACGACAGGACAAGACGCCGACCAGTACTGCCGAGCCGGGGAGACTCCGCAGCGTGCCACTGCAGGCAACAGGAAGGCAGCGACGGGAGTGCGGTGGCTGCGATTGCAAGCAGCCGAAGCGTCGAAGCCACAGCGCTGCCGCTGTCACAGTGTCGAAACGCCAGCGGAGGATGACGGGAGGAGACACAAACCTCAGCGCCTGTTCCGACACACAAAGATCCACGAAGGCGCGCTTCTGATTCCTTCGATGTGCGGCGAATCCTCAGAGCACAGTGTCGTTCTTGGCAGCGGCACGTCGTGACACTTGCTGGCGCTGTGGGCGTCGGTGAAAGAGCGGCGAAGACGTGTCGATCGACTCGCGTGATCAACCGCATCACTGGCGTGAAGATGAGGTCTGATTCTGGCACCATCGCTTGAGACTTGCCCCAAATGGTACTGGGAACGCATTCACATCTACATGCTGTGAACAAATTCCACTTTCGTCCATAACTAGTGCCCACGTGCTCCTTCGGCCATTTTTCGACGCCGAAATCGACTCCTAAGTATAACCCTTAGATATTCCCCAAGGGGTATTCCTCAGGGTAATCTCTACGGATATTTCCTAAGGAGAATTCTAAGGAAAATTTCTAAGGATATTTCTAAGGATATTTTCTAAGGATATTTCTAGGATAATTTCTAAGGCGACTCTCCAAGATCAATCGCTAAGGATATTTGTCTGAGAATATTGTCTTAGATATTTGGCTAAGAATATTTTCTTAGGATATTGTCTTAGATATTTGGCTAAGAATATTGTCTCAGGATATTGTCTTAGAATATTGTCTTAGATATTTGGCTAAGAATATTGTCTCAGGATATTGTCTTAGATATTTGGCTAAGAATATTGTCTCAGGATATTGTCTTAGAATATTGTCTTAGATATTTGGCTAAGAATATTGTCTCAGGATATTGTCTTAGAATATTGTCTTAGATATTTGGCTAAGAATATTGTCTCAGGAGGATATTGTCTTAGGATATTTGGCTTACGAAATTGTCTCAGGATATTTGGCTTAGGAAATTGTCTCAGGATATTTGGCGTTGGATATTCCCTCAGATATTTGACTTAGGATATGGTCTCAGGATATTTGGCTTAGGATATGGTCTCAGGATATTTGGCTCAGGAAAATGGCTTAGGAAATTTTCTCAGGATGTTTTCTCAGGATTGGTCTCAGGACATAATCTCAGGATATTTGGCTTAGGATATTTGGCTGACGGTCCAGGCCACCCTCAGGGATGCCTAGATCTGAGGGCAGAAGAGAGAAGATTGAGTGCACACAAAAAGCAGACTAAGCCCTCGCACAACATGCCATAAACAAATGACGGACACCCTTCTCTACTGTGAGCTTTGAAGATGGCTGATGGAACACGGAGGGGTCCCCCCGCCCCGGTTTTTTGCGATCTTTGTCCTTTTTGAAACAATCGCGCAAAGCCTTTGTGGATTGTGCCCGCCAGCCGCCAGGGCGTCGCTTTGGTCTTTCATCTTTGTCGGGCGCGGGCGCTCATCGTGGAATTTGAATAACAGGCTATACTTCTTCGACTACACATGCAGGCAATACACCATATGGGTCTCAAACACACAGAGCAAACGGCGAACCAGGCGCCGTCCAGCACTGCCAGAGCCGCGGCATGACATGCGCGGGCTGTGGAGTTGTGTTTGGGCTGGGCGCCAAGATCGAGCCGCGTGGCGCCGGCTTCGTACACGCCGGCCGTGACGAATGCGGCCGAGCCGCCGACGAGAAGGCTCCGGCTGTCGTCGAGTCGGTGAGCCGGAGGGAGGCGTCCCTCGAGACGGTCCTGGGCGCCGGACGTGTCGAGACGGCGCTCAAGTGCCTCCAAGGGGGGTGCAGTGCCACAGGCGACAAGTACATCTGTGGACGCTGCGGCTCCTACGGGCTCCACCGCGAGTGCGCGGGCTTGTCGAAATACCAGGTCGAGCCGGGACAGCTCGTCTGTGCCGTGTGCAGGGCCGAAGCCATGACGCCGGACGGCCACTCACCCACCGACCTCGTCCTCCGACGCGCCGCTCGGACGATGCTCGCCGAGCTGGAATCTATGGCCGTTATCCGTTAGTGCGGACGTCGCCGCGGCTCGCCTCTGCCGCGGCGGCTGCTGCGCGCACGCGGCGGCGCCGCTCTCTCGCGAGACGGCTGGCGACGCGGCTCGCCGCCGACGTACGGTGCGCTCGTCCGACGGTCCGCAGCGTGGCGTGCGCGGCGCTGAGCGCCGCTCTGCGAGCGCCTCTGCGCCTGCACTGCCTGTCTCTGTTGCTGTTGGTGGTGGTGGTACTGCTGCTGCTGGTGCCGATGCTGCTGCTGGCGCGGCGCGGCTGTGCGACTGGGCTCGACGCGCGCGTCGCGAGCGTCTGACGCGGCGGGCGGCGTCGGGCAGGTGCGCTTCTCTCTCGGGTGGTGGTGGTGGTGCTGCTGCTGCTGCTGGTGGTGCAGATGCTGCTGCTGGTGCGGCGCGGCTCTCCGACGCGACTCGATGCGCGCGTCGCGGCTATCTGACGCGGCGGGCGGCGTCGCGGGCGGCAGCGGTGGCGGCTCGCGGGTGGAGGTGGAGGCTGGTGGCTGTGGTGGACTTTGAGTTTATTTCATGGTCGTGTACGGGGACCGGGGGGTCAACCGGGAGGCAGGGGGTTCAACCAGGCGACGGAGGACCGTGGGCCATCGCGGGGACCAGCCCGTCCGGAGGGCGAACCCGGCAGATCCGGATGGTCTCACGCCGGTGGGTGGCACCGAGGCGTCTTGGACGCTCAGCTCTACCTTAAGCTCCTGAGGGGCGCGTGGTTGTAACCACGTAGTATGACTACAACCCACCACAGACACCCTCCCCCACTCCTCACGTGTGTTCACACCCTCACCCTCTCCTCTCTCCTCTCTCTCTCTCTCTCTCTCCTCTCTCTCCTCTTGTCTGTGCTGTCTGCCTGACTCAGGCACTCAATCTGCCGATGCGTGATTGTGTGTGGGCTGCTCCGAGGGGGCCCTCTGTGCGATCCGACGGGTAGGGGGGCTGTGCCCGGGCGGTGTCCGGTGTGGAGTCCCCTTCTGATCCCGCCTGGGATGTTGGGTGTGAGGTTGTGGCGGCTTCGATCCCAAGGGGGGGAGCTGATCCCACTCAATAACCAACTCTCAGGGGCAGTAGGTGGGCGAGCTTCAGGCACGCTCATCTCGATCGTCAAGACGTTGCTACGCGCGGTCTTCCGCGGGGGGAGCTGCGTCGACGGGTGCGGGACCGCGGCGCAGCCAGTGCCGTGGCGATGCCTCCGGCTGTTTGCGGCGGGCGGCTTGCTGCTCGCTGCGATGGCGAAAAACTCGTCTCGCCACACGCCAAGGGCTTATGCTCTGGCGAGACGTGAGGCGCATGCGCCCAGGAGGGGAGGGGGCATGTGTAACGACACTGCTAGAGATGCCTTTCGGGGCCCAGAGATAAAACTTCTGTGATGCCATGCGTGACCTAGTAGTGTCCCCAGCTATGGGCGTGTCCACGTTGGAGCCAGGTGTGGTGTGGGCGCGAGAATAGCTCCGCCGTTCATGGAGGCAACCGATGCGAGTCGACTGGTGTGTGTCGTCGTGGTTTCGTATCAAGAATTCTCTCTCTCTCTCTCCGCGGTCTACCAAGTCTACCGGTAGACTGGGGTCGTAGGTTCATTACGGTCTACCGGTAGACTGCGGTAGACTCGTGGTAGACTCGTCTACCAAATGGTCTACCGTCTACCCCAGTCTACCCCAGTCTACCGGTAGACGGTAGACGGGCCACCCCTCAGATACCGCCCATCCTGACCGGAAGTCGGGCCTGCTGAACAGCGACCCGCCACCGTGGGCTGTTGCGTCCGACCCGCGCGCCACCCACGAGGGTGTAGAGCGCCTCCTCCATCAGGCGGTCGTGCTCGCGCGCGGCGTCCTGGGTCACCGACGCGGGCGGCAAAAGAATAGTTAGAGGCTGCGCAGGCCGTCCCGTTTGCTGTTTGCATAAAAAACGCCTGTCTGTTGCGCTCAGCGGTCTCTGAAATCCCTCAGTACCATCGATACCTCTGCCAAACGGTGGCGGCCGCGCGGCCACTAGACGTGGCACGTGTAGTCAGGCCGAAGCAGACTGCTGCGCGGTGACGTCAACTGCAGCAGCAGCGGAGTGGCTCCGCCTGGCCGCGCTGCTCACCAGCGGCTCCGAGTCGCGATGCCGCGCGACGGCGCCACCGCCGTACAGCAGGGTGGCGAGGCACGCGCCGCCGACGGCGACGACGGCGACGCAGATGGCGCAAGCGGTGCGCGCGCTCACCTGCAGCACCGACAGAGACGGAGTGGCGGGCCTGCCCCGGCAGCATCTAATCTCTCTCCTCCGATAGCCCCCCTCCGAACCCCCCCCCCCCCCCCCCCCCCCTTCACCTGTGGTAGCACCGAGAAGCCGACAAACGACGACAGCGCCGAAGTGAGCTTGAGGTGTGCGAATGGTCCAACCGCACCCGCGCCCGCATCCGGCCCGCCCCTCGAAGCTGCAGGCGCGGGCGCCGCCCTCGCCGCCCCAACCATGCTGCGCCCACGCCCGCCGCGCGTGCCGCGCGTGCCTCCCGGGAGGGAGAGCGCGGGCGAGGTGCGGCGGGAAGCGCGCGGCGCGTGGCGCGGTGTCGCCATCTCGCCAACTAGCGCCTGCTCCGGGAAGGTTCCGAGACGGTTCCGAGACGGTTCCGAGACGGTTCCGAGACGGTTCCGAGACGGTTCCGAGAAGGGCCTCGGCTAGCCTCTCGGCTAGCCTCTCGGCTAGCCTCTCGGCTGCCTCTGGCGACATCTCGGCTCTCTCGGCGAGATCTCGGCTGCATCTCGGCGAGATCTCGGCTGCATCTCGAGCGCCATCACGGAGGTTTGCCACACAGCAACGCCGACGCCGTACAAGAGAAAAATGCCCACCCACGCGCCACCGCCGGGCGAAGTGCACGAAAGCGGCAGCGCCGACGGCGCCAGCGGTGGCTCCGCCGCCAGCGGCAACGGTGGCGAAGGCGGGAGGCCGCGTTCGCCGCCGTCGCTCGCAGCGGGTGGCGGTGTCGGCGGCAGCGGAGGAGGAGGCAGCGCGGCGCAGGCAGAGCCTGCGTGCGGAATACGCAAACATGAGGGGCGGGACCACGGCATAGCGCAGAGCCTTCAGAGCACCGCGTGAAGACGAGGGGGCACGAGGGCAGTGAGTACCGCTGGAAGACAGCCGAGTGCAGCGGAGTGCGTGTCCTCTCGAGCGCTGGTTGGGGTACAAGGATTGCGTGTTCCGCTTCTAGGGCCCGCTGCTCCTGCTCACGAGATACGGGGAGATACGGGGGGAGATACGGGGAGATATTCCGCGTCTAGGGCCCGCTGCTCCTGCTCACGAGATACGGGGAGATACGGGGGGAGATATGGGGAGATATTCCGCGTCTAGAGTCGCCGAGCCCGCCATCGCCGCAGCCGCTGCGAACGCGACAGCCCCGGCGGCGAGGGCGAGGGCGCGACCAGAGGGGTGGGCGCGCGCCATGTAGGTGACTGCGACGGCCACGCAGCCGGCGAACAAGCCGGAGAGAGCGAAGTACCTGCGCGCAGGTGCAGCCGTGAAGAGACGCCGTTCACGGCGGGCCTGCGGGCACCGGTGAGAGCAAAGGACCACCCCGCCCGACAGGAGGGCGGGGAGGACGGTCTTGTGCAGCGTATTCAGAGCACCGCGTGAATGCGAGGACTACGACTACAGCGGAGAGCGTGTCCTCTCGACCGCTCGTTGGAGTACAAGAGTTGCGTACTCCGCTTCTGGGCAAAAGGGCCATCCAACCCACGGGGAGATACGGGGAGATACGGGGGAGATACGGGGAGATACGGGGAGATGTTCCGCTTCTAGGCAAAAGGGCCATCCGACCCACGGGTTGGCCTGGCCGGGCGGGTTCGGGCTGGGCGCGAGGGAGGCGACCACCTAATCGGGGCACAAAGGGGATCTGATGAGGGGAATAAAGGGGGTATACGGGGCATGAGGGGGTAACGCGGGTTCGGGCTGTGCGCGGGGTACAAGGGAGGCGTCCGCCGCCGGATGAGAGGGCCATCATGGAATAGGGGGTACAAGGGGGTACAAGGGGTACAAGGGGGTACAAGGGGGTACAAGGGGCGACCACCGGGAAGAGAGCCGTCATGGAATAGGGGGCACAAGGGGGTACAAGGGGGTACAAGGGGGTACAAGGGGGCGACCACCGCCGGGAAGAGGGCCGTCATGGAATAGGGGGTACAAGGGGTACAAGGGGGTACACGGGGGTACAAGGGGGTACAAGGGAGGCGACCACCGCCGGGAACAGGGCCGTCATAAGCCCGAACGCGACGTTCGTCGGAGTGAGGAGGACGAAGCGGTGGTCGCAGAGCGTGGCCAACAGGCTCCCCTCCCCGCCGCTGCCTTGCGGCTGGCCGGGACCCGTGTCGCTCTGCCGCTCGCCCGGCCGCGCGGACAGGTCGATCACGCTGGACATGGCGACGGTGCAGCCGAGGGCGAGGGCGGTGTAGGCGCCAAAGAGGAGCTGCGGGGCCTGCGGGAAAGAAGGGGGCGCGCTGTGAGCGGCGTCTCTCCGCCGGTGGTGCGACTCTGAAGAGCCGAGGAGCTGCAATGCCTGCGGGAAGAGGGAGAGGGAGAGACCGGCCAGCTGCTTACCAAAGGTGAGGGAGAGCTGGAAGAAGAGCGCGAAGAGACCCGCCTGTTCACAGCCGGCGGTGTGAAGAGACGCCGTTCACGGCTGGAAGAAGAGAGCGGGGCGGCCCGCCATCAAGTCGAGCGAGTCTCGCTCGCCCTCCGCCGCTGCCTTCTCCGACGCAGCGCCCGCCTGTGCCCACAGCCCGGCAGCTGGAAAAGGAGGGGTAGGAGGCGGGCCCCTCCCGGCTGCGGAACAGCCACGTGTAACGTGTGGGATCGGGGTCGTGGCATCAGGGGTGTCGCATCAGGGGTGCAGGGTCGAGAGTACGAGTATGCAGTGGGATCGAACGCCCATGTGAGACATGGGAACTCGCCGACGCGCCGCCCGCGAAAGTGCCGTGAAGACGCGTCTCTGACTGCAGAATCCTCGGATAGAGGCCGCCGCCCGCCGCCGCAACGCCCTCCACTGAAGGAGAGCCGGGAGGAAGAGGAGGAGGCGCCCCCGTCGCCTCCGCCGCCCTCGCCTCTGTCGCCCTCGCCGCCGCCTCCGCCTCCGCGCCTCCTCCCTCCCCTCCTCCTCCGCCGCCCGCCCCTCCTCCTCCTCCTCCACCCCCTCCTCCTCCACCACCACCAACCCCACCCCCACCACCACCTCCTCCTCCTCCTCCTCCTCCTCCTCCTCCCACGGACGCGCGGCCCTTTGCCTTGCTGTACTCGACCGCGCTTGTCGTGTAGTATGCCCCCTGCGCCGTCCAGAGCAGAGCGCCTACGCGACGGTTCCGAGAAGGTTCACGGAAGGCGCCGCGGCATGCGCGCTGCCCCGCGCAGAGCACCGGCGAGGCCACCGAGCGCTCCGGCGGGGTAGAGGACGGTTGGGCTCGGCGCCATGTACGCGGCCGTGTACACCGCGTACATCAGCATCGACGCGACCAGCGAGCGCTTCACTCCGGCGCGCCGCACGAGCGCCGGCGCCACGAGCGTGCCGAGAGCGAAGAAGAGGTAGAGCACGGCGCTGACAGACGAGGCGAGGTGGTGCTCGACCACCTCGTGTGAGATGATGATCGTCGCGGAGATGCAGCCCTCCAGGATCGCGAACGAAGCAGAGAAGACCAGCGCGTTGCGCATGAGGTCGCGTGGAGAGTAAGCAGGCCGCGGAGGCCGCACGCCGCCGAAGCCGTCGTCGTCGCTGAAGTCGGTTGAGGCCATGTTTGGCGCCTTGAAAAATGGCGAGTCCATGTGTTGCCGCCGAAAGCCGGCCGACCGAGAGCACCGTCACAAAGAAGAATTTTACCTTCGCGCGCACTGGCACTAACACAGGCCTTGGGTTGTCCGTTTTCTTTCTTTCTTTCTTTTTAACACAGGCACAAAAATAATTTTATAATATCCGCTTGGGGGAAAAAGTTTTCGTGAAATCGCACACGCATGAATCACACGACAGACGGCGTCCTCGCCACAAAAGCCGCCGTCCGAAATCCCCTCTCCCGACACCCGCCCCATCCCTCCCCGGTCCCCGCCCCGCCCTGCCCCACCCGACCCTCCCCGGACCCTCCCCAAACCCCCCCCCCCCCACACACACACACACCCTCCCCGACGCCGGGGAGCTAAGAAGCGCACCCAGCGGGCCGGACGATTGGTATCACACTGTGTCGGCTTACGGACTAGAGAGCCCTCTATCTATCTAGCCCTGTGGGGGGTGCGCAATCCTTGGGATAGTCCGCGCTTTGGGTTTCCCCTAGCTGCGAAACGCAACAAAAAAATCTCTCTCTCGAAACGCCCCCTCTACTCGGAGCTAGAGATACGAGAATACGCACCGCGCCTTCTAGGGAGTTTTGTTGTAAAATTCTTTTCATGTTTGTCGCACAACTATTAAATAACCGTCGCCAAAAATCGCACGCCGGGAATCTGTGGATACCAAGTAACCCCCGCCCCCGCCCGCTCCCATTGCCGCCTCGCTCCACTAAGCCCCGCCTGCTCTCGGCGCAGCCATGTTCTCCTGCAAGGCCGGCTTTGGCGATGCCTCCGGCTGTTTGCGGCGGGCGGCTTGCTGCTCGCTGCGATGGCGAAAAACTCGTCTCGCCACACGCCAAGGGCTTATGCTCTGGCGAGACGTGAGGCGCATGCGCCCAGGAGGGGAGGGGGCATGTGTAACGACACTGCTAGAGATGCCTTTCGGGGCCCAGAGATAAAACTTCTGTGATGCCATGCGTGACCTAGTAGTGTCCCCAGCTATGGGCGTGTCCACGTTGGAGCCAGGTGTGGTGTGGGCGCGAGAATAGCTCCGCCGTTCATGGAGGCAACCGATGCGAGTCGACTGGTGTGTGTCGTCGTGGTTTCGTATCAAGAATTCTCTCTCGCGACACACAGACACAAACAAGCTCACAAGACACAAGGGGTAGGTAGGTAGGTAGAAAGGTGAAGAACAGCCAGGCTCGGACTGGACACCAACGCGGTATGGGTGGACGCGAGACAGATGATAGGTAGGTAGATGATGAAGGGGTATGTATGTATGTATGTAGTAAGGTGAAGAACAGTCAGGCTCGGACTGGACACCAACGCGGTATGGGTGGACGCTAGACAGATGATGACGACACGCACGAGCGACACACAGACACAAACAGGCTCACAAGACACACAGGGGTCCCCCGTGTGCGAAAGAAATTCGCACGCCCTGGCTCGACTCGCTCCACCTCTCCGCTCTCCGGGCCATGCCCAAGTCGCAGAAGGCCAGGAAGCAGGCCCGCTTCAACCCGCTCGCAGCCGCCCGTCGCGCCGCCGAGGGCCAGGAGGAGCCCGGCACGTCGGCAGCGGCCGCCGAGGAGGCGCCAAAGCTCAGCGCGCACCAGCTCCGTCACATCGAGCGAAAGCGGCTGCAGGTGTGCAGGCCGCGGCGCGACCCCGCACGGCACCACGAGCGCTCCACCCGCGCGCGTCCCGCCCACAGGCCGAGACGGCGGCGCTGCGCAGCTCCAAGCTCAAGGTGAGCAAGGCGGACAAGGTGCAGCACAAGCGCGACAAGAAGGCGCTTGCGCGGGAGCTCAAGCAGGCGTGAGCGGCGGTTGGGAGGAGGGCTCGCGGGCGCACGCCCTCTATCGCCGCCGCCGTCTTTCCCACCGCCCGCGTGTACGCCTCTCCCGCCGCCTTTCTCAACCGCCGCCACCGCTGGCGTCGTCGCAGGTGCGGCAGCAGGCAAAGACGCTGCGGAGAGCGCCAAAGGGCGGCGGCGGTGGAGGCGGAGGGGCGGGCGAGGCGGTGGAGGCCGTCGGGGAGGGCGCCGCCGACGACGCCTCCATGATCGACGCGCCGCTGGAAGCGGACGAGCCGTTGCGGGGCTTCAGGTGCGTTATCGCAGCCGCTCTCTATGTCCCTCCGCAGCCCCTTCCGGGACCTTTCCGAGAGCTTTCCGTCCGAGAGCACGCTGTAGCAGCGCCGCTCAGAGGCGCCTCACAGACGCGCGCGAGACGGCCCTCCCGCTCCGTTTGCGCCGCCGCCACTCTCTTCGCCGCCGTTTCTGACGCCGGTCCGCCCGCGTGCCGCCCTGCAGCTTCAACCTGCCGCCGGCGCTGCCGCTGCCTCGAGGTGACAGACCCGGGAGATGACAACCTGGACGGGGGGGGCGGCGGATCGCCCGTCGACGGGTGGTCCTCCGCCTGTCCGTGCCGTGTCCTGCCCTGACAGCCGCCCGCCTCCAGTGCCGCTCTGTCCGCCCTCCTCCCGCTCGGCCCCAGTGGCATGCGGCCATGTTCCTTGCTTCCCCCGTGGGCGCCTGGCCGCGGGCCTAGCCGGTGGGGAGCGAGCGCTGTGGTGTTGGTGGTGCTGGGCCGTGTGAGCACGTGGTGGGCCCGCGCCGGGGCAGGTGTCGGGGAAACTGTGCGACCGGGGTCGCGCCGATCGACTGACGTGTCTGTCCGTGCGCGAACCGTGTCCCGTAATACCCGTCAGACTCCCGCGGGTCCGGATCTCGAGCGGGCCCGGGAGGAGGCGCGCTCGAGGCCGAGTGGTGTCGCAGCGCCGTCTTGGGCTGTGGAGCCGCGCCGCGTGAGCTTTACTTACTCATTAGTAGCAGCAAGAGTGACGTACGATCCGCAAAACGTCTAAAGCGCGCGTCTCTGAGAATCTAGCTGAGAATGCGAGCCGGCCACCACAGCTGAAGCGTCTGAACACTCCTGCGAGGCACACATCTGACGAGGCTCACGCAGCGGCGGCTCCTCTCGGAAGCGACGGCCACGCAGCGAACGCGTGTTGCCGCTGCACCAGCGGCGGTAGGGGACCGGCTAGCCCGATCGCCCGTCCCGCACCAGAGCCGGCGCCCCCCTCGTTCTGCTGCGGCACGAGGCCGCCGAGGGACCTGTACACGGGCTCTTCGTCCAGATCCACCTCCAGGTCCGCCATGCCCAACGACAGCGAGCGGTAGACTGGCTCATCCTCCTCGTCGGAAGAAAAGTCGTCAAGGAAGGCCGCGGAGGAGTGGTACCGCATGTCGTCGTCGCTGTCATCGGGCGCGACGTCGAGGGAGCCAGGGCTCTCGCCCGCCGCCCGGACCTGCGCGAGCCAGCTGCAGTGCTCCTGGAAGGCCGCGGCAGACTGCGAGAGAGCCATTGAAGAGACGGAAGACAAGGCCGGACAGACGGGACGGGACCACCTTGGGCCGCGTCTGCCAAAAAAAAAAGCGAGCGCGATATGCCATGTCCGCCTTGCGTTTGTTTTCATAACATCGAAGGCTAAGCTCAAAAAAAAAGTGAAAACGGGCACGTTGTTTACTTTAAGGCCCTTGCCCTGCGAACGCGCACCCCCGGGGCTAGGGCTTTCTTGCCCGCAACCCGATCCCGATCATCCGGCCCGCTGGGTGCGCTTCTGAGCTCCCCGGCCCTGGATGTGAGGCTAATGACTGCACTCCAAGTGCTCCAAGTGCGCTGCCCGGCCCTGGATGTGAGGCTACCAACTGCACTCCAAGTGCTCCAAGAACGGGGCGGTCCTGGGCGTGAGGTTAATGACCGCACTCCAAGTGCTCCAAGTTCGCTCATCACACCTTTGTTGTTTTCTCTTACGGTGTCGACGATGCCAAACCTGAGAACAGATTCTTTGTTGATCATCGTCGCTGCTGGATTCTTCAACAAACAAGGGCACAACAAACAACAGACAACAGGGGCGAACGCGTGAGGCTAGAGCAGGCTTCTTCAATTCGCAACCCCGTCTGAAGGGCAGAATGGTCCCTGCACCATTACCCGACATCAACTTGATTCCGGATGCATATTCTATAGAGTGTGTGTGTGTGTGTGTGTGTGTGTGTGTGTGTGTGTGTGTGTGTGTGTGTGTGTGTGTGTGTGTGTGTGTGTGTGTGTGTGTGTGACTCACTCACACACACACAGAGTGTGTGTGTATCGGGGCGCGGAAAAGAGGAACCTCTTAGCGCCATCGCCACGGTGCTGCAAGCAGCGCCGGGCGACGACGACTTACCGCCTCCCGGTCCCCCTCGGCACACCTCCGCTGCTTAATGTTTGACGACTCGAACCCGTGAAGCTTCCCCGTGCGCGGGTTACCCCGCACACGGGTCAGCCTGCCGGCCACGTATCCACGCAAGCGTGGTCCGCGTGCATGGCATACAGGCGTCCGCCAGACAGCGCAGAGGCTAGGCGACCGGGGAAGGACTAGCTCAAGGGCAACACAGCGTCACCAGCCGTTGGCGCGCAGAACGAGTCTGCGGCCCCCGGTTGGATCGAGTGCGCGACGCGGACGAACCGCTCAATGTGGCCGGCAGCTCGCGCTGCCGGCGGGGTTGGTTGGGGAGAACCGGCACGGGGGAAGCCGGCCTCCCCGGAGGGGTCGCCCCCTGGAGGGGCCCCAAAGGGCCCCCCGGGGGGGCGGGGCCCGCCCCGAGGGGCGGGGGCAGGTTCGTCGCTTAGCGCGATGGAGTCAACCCTTGTTGCCAAGTCGGCGAGCGTGTTGTGTATCGAGAGAGAGGACCATAGCAGATGCGAGAGCGGCGTCGTCCAGAGACATCGGCGGACGGGGGAGCACACGGGACACGTCGGCATAGGGATAGGAGCCAGGGGTGTGGGCTGGGCCTGCATCATGAATGGGCCTGATAGCGACGGCGGCGACGTAGGCGAGACGGCGGCGAGGGTGGCGACGGTCACGATGAAAAGCTGGCTTGACGAAATGGATGACGCCATCGCGCAACAATGGACATCCTCGATGTCGTCGTCCTTGCCGGAAGGGGCAGCGCACGCGCCTCTGAAGATCGAGGCGCGTGGCTCAAAGCCGGCGCTGCGCGGGTTTTCGTGCCCATCCGACTATGGTCTACTTTTCCATTTTTTGGATGCCGTGGTCGTGGGGGTCACTGCGTCACTCACGACCCGCACGAGGTAGGCGGCGCGCAGCGCCGCTCTCTATGATGTAACATACTTGACCCCCCCCCCTTGGCGCCTTGTGATTTTCGTGGCAGAGCTGCGGATCTCAGCCCGCCGATCTCCGCTCGCGCCGGCCGCCCATGCGCTCGCGGGGCTTCCCGACGGGGCGGGCCTCGTGCTGATGGACCCAGCCGAGGTGCCCGACCAGTCGGATCCGCGCCGACGCGCTGCGCGCGACCACCAGCCAGCTTTCCGGCCGGGCCGGGAAGCTGACACTCAAAGTAGCAGCCGCTTTTTTTTGCCTCTTTTTGAGCGCTGCTGCTGCACACCCAGCCCACCAGTGATACGAGACGCACCAGATCCACCCCGTCGCGAGCTTGACCGCAACCCCGGTGACCGCCCATAGGTGGCTGATCGAAGCGCCACTCATCGCTGCTTTCGCGCGCCTGCTCCACAGAGGGCTCCTGCGGCTCTCCCTCGTCGCGTGACCGCCGCCGACATCATGTGCTCGGTCGTCCCCGCCGGCGCGGAGCTGCGCCACGTCGAATTCTTCGGTGGCTCGACCGCCGGCGCGCCCACCCTCGCCTCCTGCGCGCCTCACACACAGTGATCACCTCGCGCGCGGCCGACAAAGAGAGCGCACGACCACCTCCCTCTCAGACACCCACCCGACGAAGCACAGCCCGTTCGTTCTCGCCGAGAAGACGCTCGGAGCACCCAACTTTGCCTCGTGCGGCCATCAAACAGGCGCGTTGCCTCCCATCTCCGCACTTCCCATCTACCCCCACACTGCCACTGCCGGGGACGCGCAGATGCGACTCCCGGGCCCGCTCACCTCACCCGAGCCCCGCCGACCAGGCACGGCCCGACGAGAACCCGCCGGGAAGGAGCTGGCCGAGCCATCGCCGGCCTCCCTGCCGGCTCATGACCGCTCAAAAGGTCGCTCACCCGCCCGTCGCTTGCCGCCCCTCTCCCAGCCCTTGCCGGCGCTTTTGCACGAACCTAGGGCTCAGTTCCGTCTTCCTCCCCCTCGCTCCTGTAGGTAGGCCGCCCCGCGCTGGCGGGAAGAGGCGCGCTGAGCCATCGGCGACGTCCCGGCGAGCTCATGGGCGCTCAAAAGGTCGCGGACCCGCCCGTCGCTTGCCGCCCCTCTCCCAGCCCTTGCCGGCGCTTTTGCACGAACCTAGGGCTCAGTTCCGTCTCCCCCCCCCTCGCTCCTGTAGGTAGGCCGCCCCGCGCTGGCGGGAAGAGGCGCGCCGAGCCATCGGCGACGTCCTGGCGAGCTCATGTCCCCCCAAAAGGTCGCACCCGCCCGTGGCTCCGCCGTCGGCTCCGCCGCGAGCGGCGACGGTGAGGCCGCCGGTGCTCGCCTATACCGGCTAGTGTGGAGCTCTCAGTGTGGTTGCGTGTTTTACTAGTGATGCTTCACTAGGCGGCCCGTTTTTAGCAAAAACCAGATACCACATCGCGTGTGGTCGTCGAAAAACCGCATGTTCGCCCGTCTGGGACCTCTTCGTACGGCTCCAAAAACCGCTCCTTAACGACGACTACGCGGCCCGGCGGTCGATCTGCGCCTTCTCAGCGGTGGAGGGGATGTGGGCGGTACGTGCGGGCCGCGTGGTGCTGCGACGGTTTGACGAGTGCGACTCCCAGCGTCGACTTTTCGACCCCACGGTGCCTCTGCTGCTCCGGGGGGGGGGGGGGGGGTCTGCAGACCACCCGGCCGAACTTCAGAGTGGCGGTGCTCCTCAAATACCGCTCAAACGCCCACGATGTTGTGGAGGGGACATATGCTGATGATCCTGGCCCGATTGGTTCGCTCAGAAAGCTTCTGGGCGGTCGCTAAGGTTCGCTCCCCGCACACCGGCCCGGAAGTATGTTACATCATATCTCGCAGGCTGTTTTTGACGGTTCTACATTGTGTTTTTGTTTTCAGTCTAGGGGGGCCGACCCCCTCAGAGGCGGCGGGCGGGCGCCCACGGCACTGACCCAGAGATCAAAAACGCTCGGCCCCTCTTTACGATCGTGCGTGCGTACCCCTGCTCGCACACACACACACCGCTCACCCACGCGCACCGGGCCTTGCACTTTGAATGCCGTGGGGCTCCTGTCGTTAGACGTGGAGACGCGAGGGTTGCCCCCCCTTGCCCCACCACCTCGTGTGTGTGGAGAAGTTTACCTTACCTTACCTTACCTACCCCTGCGGCTCGCCGTGCGGTGCGTGTCTCGCGTGTGCCGATGCGATGTGCAGTGTGACACAGGATAGGATCGTGTCTCAATGGCCATTAGAGGGGAGCGCTTGTGCATGTTTTGCACATCGTACTATTTCTTCCCACATGCACCGTACTACAAGTGCAACTCTGCACGTGGTGCGTGCCAAAAACCGGGGGACGGGGCCCCGTTTGTGGGGAGAACGCAAAGCAAAGCGAGTCCGACGCGGCGCGGCCTAGCTCTCACGTCAGCCCATGCCTGTTGAGCAATCCCTGGAAGGCGAGCCACAAGTCGCGGTGCTCCGTGCCAAAGATGGCGCCCGCCTGACTCACCGTCTCCTCTCTCGTCTGCGCGTGGTCGTTCAGTCTCTTGATTGAGGCGAGGAAGGCGGAGAACTGCTCGTACGACAGCCGCAGCCGCGCCGCACGGAAGAACTCCTTGCCTGCTCACAGGTGGCGTCTCCTCACTGTCGAGAGTCCGTGTGATGGAGCGGCGCGGGAGAGCGCTCTTGCCGTCCAGTGTCGGCGTCGGCTCCGGCGGCGGCGGCGGCGCGGCCCGTGGCGGTGACTTGGCCATGGATGGAGCCAAGCCCGCGCCAAACGATGCGTAGCCCGGAGAGGGCGGCGACGCGCCGCTGCTGCAGCCCGCGTACGCGTGAGGCGTCCGCTCGCCGCCGCCGCCGCCGTACCCGCCGCCGCCGTACGCGCCGCCGCCGCCGCCGCCGTACAGGCCACCGCAGGCGTGGCCGCCGCCGCCAAAGCTGCCACCTCTGCACCCGGTACCAACGCCGCCGCCACCGCTGTGGGAGGCCCCGTTGGGCGGCGGCGGCTCCTCGTCCGCCACTCCGTTCGTCGCCGCGATCGACATGATTGCGCGCTTGAATTGGCCCGCCTTGTCGAGCCGCTCCTGCAGCGAACGGTTCTCGGCGGCGAGCGAGGCGCGCTCGGAGACGAGCGAGGCGTTCTCGGCGGCGCCGCTACGGAGCTGCGCCTCCAGCTCTGACACCCGCTGCTGCAGCGCCGTCACGCGGCCCTCGCTCTCCGCGCTGAAGGCGCGCAGCCGAGCGGTCTCCGCCTCGAGGCCTCGCGCGCGTTCGTCGTAGGCGCGCTCGATGAGCGAGAGCCCGAGCTTGAGGAGCTCGCCAGGCTCGCGCGGAAGAGGATCCGGACTGAGAGTGGCCATGATAGTGCGCGAGAAAAGAATTCTTGCAGGCAAGGCGTGAGAAAAGAAAACATTCGGAAGGTGGGTCGGGAGGGGATACCCCGCTAGGAATAGTCTCCCCCGACCCCGCCCGCCCGCCCGCCCGCCTGCCCTGCCCGCCTGGCCGATAAGATCTCTTCACCTTCTCATTGGTGGAGTATAGGTACGAGGGTGGTGTGGCATCTCTTGCGGGTCTCGCCAGGGGCGCCTACTAACCTCGCTTGCGAGGGGCGTGTGGCATGTCTGAACGGACTCGTGAGGGGCGCCTGCCAACCTCGCTTCGTCGAAGCGGCGCTCGGTACCCACACCCACCCCGCCGCATTCGTCGCCGGCGCGCGACACGTTCCCGTCGGCTGGACTGCCCTCGTCGAGTGCGTGTCGCCAACCAAGGCGGGACGCACTCAGGGACAGTGCCGGCGGGACGCGGCTCGAGAGGCGGCTCCCGCGGAGGCACGGCTGGCACCCGTGGCGCGGGGCTCGTCTTCGGAAAGACCAGGATCGCTCTACTGGCAAACTTCTGGCTGACACGCGCGCCCGGTCGAGCCTTCGGCGGGCGCGCTGCGGTCGCACGCCTACCCAAGTCATATGCCACGGCGTGCGATCTAGATTCAGCACACGCGCCTCTGCTCGCAACCACTCATCCAATGAACTGTCGTCACCCATGAGTGCGAGTTAGGGCTAGCTGCTCTAGTCTCACACGTTCGCCCCTGTCGCCTGTCTGTGTTGTTGTGCTGTTGTTTGTCTCTTGGCACCTTGGAGTGCTGGGGGGGGCGACAGGGGGGACGTGGCCTGAGTGATGTGTACGCCCACTCAGGATGTGTGGCAGCCCGCTGGCTGTGTGTCTTGTGAGCTTGTTTGTGTCTGTGTGTCGCTCGTGCGTGTCGTCATCATCTGTCTTGCGTCCACCCATACCGCGTTGGTGTCCAGTCCGAGCCTCCGTGCCCGGCCGAACATACTGCTCCTCGAGGTAGTCAATCGTCTTGTTGATGAAGGTCTGCGCGGCGTAAGAGTCGTGGGTCTTGTCGTTCGAGACGTGGACAAAGGCCTTAGTGTGCAGCTTGCGGTGGCGAAGGTAGCGGCGTTCGACATACTCGAGAGGGTCGTCATCGCTCGCACCATGGCGTCGCACGCCGTACCGAAGTTGCTCGGGGTCGGTCGCGGCGCGCTCCGCGGCGGACGGCACGGCCATGACCTCGGCGTAGCAGGAGCCCTTGGCGGGGATGATCGAGTCCGGCTCCGAGGCATCGGCAGGCTCGATGGTGACAGCGCAGTTGAGATCTAGATTGGAGTTACGGCTCTTCCATGCGGCGCTCTCCAGCCACGAGATGACCTGAATGAAGAGCGTGTAGCTCATCGGCGACCAATGATCCGACTGGATGGAACGGCCACGGGGCGGCGGTATCGTTCCGTCCATCGCAAAGTCGACGTCAGATTGGATCCAGCCCGGCCCGCGATTGCGGTTGAACTCGGCGGCCATCGCCTTTTGACGGGCAACGGTGAAGCGGTGGTGCGGGAATTTTCGCATCACTTCGCGCTCAAAGTCGTCAAGGAACTGCACGAGGGTGCCCGTCTTGGATTCGTAGGTCGGATGCTCGCCCGGCCGGTCGGCCCTCGAGACCTCACAGTGGCGGCCGCCTCTGACAGCGGCGGCAGCCTCCCAAGCTGGCCACGCACCATGCTGCGCTTCGCGGCAATCGCGTAACGGGAGGCTCGCTGGCTTTTTGTGGCTTTTCAGACGGCTTTTTTGGCTTCTCCCGCCCTCCAACCCCTCTCTTGGCTTTTTTTTAAGAATTCTTCTTGCTGTAGGTAGGTAGAAAGGTGAAGAACAGCCACCAACGCGGGTCCAAGAATTCTTCTTTCGCGCAATCGGTGCTGACCGCCGGCATGTTTGGGCGAGTTCGCGCGCCACTCGCTCGCCGACGCGGCGTGCGGCACGCGAGCTACGTCGCCGGCGACCAGTCTTCGCTCCTGCCAAAGTGGGCGCACTCGACGCCTGTCGTCGGCGGGCTCGTCGGCGTCGTCGTCCTGCAGGCCGCCGCCGCGACACCTCTGCCACGCTAATCAGCGGTTCCTCCATGAGCCACGCCCGCCCACCGCCTGACCGCCGCCCGCCGCCCTCGCAGCGGCTCTGGGCGGCGCTGCGGCCATCGCCACAGGCGACGCCCGGCCAGACGGACGCCGCGTACACGCCCACCGACACAAAGGCCTTGGCTCTCAAGCACCAGGGCGTTGAGCCTGGCGCGGCGGTGGAGGCGGCCGCAGCGCCGCCGGCGGCGGTGGCGGCGGTCTCGTCGCCGGCGATCGCCGCGCCGGCCGCGGTGGTTCCGCGCAAGGACTCGCTATTCACGTCTCCACTGGCGCGGAACACCTCCCTCTCAGAGCCGGTGACACCCGCAGAGATCAAGCGGGTGACGCAGCTGCAGCAATTCGACTCGCTCAGCCGAAAGGCCACCAAGGAGGAGGAGGCGCCGGCCCACTCGAAGATCGAGGCGCCTGTTTGGATTGGGCCAAAGCCGGTCGGGCCGGTGGCGGAGGGGGGCGGGGCGGGCGGGCGGCTGGTGGGCTTCACCGACGGCAAGGACGTGTTCTTGCGCAAGGAGGGTAAGGGCGGCCCGCTCCTCTGCAACCTGACCGGCTCCGAAGGGCTCGACTTGGCTGCGGGCGGCGCGGCGACCGTCAGCGTGCGCGGCTTCAGCGCGGACGGGAAGTGGCTGCTGGCGCGGAGCGGCGAAAAGGCGCTGGTGGCGTTCCCCGTCGGCGGTACGACGCCGGTGGAGGTTGTGGCGGGCGGGAAGGGCGTGACCGTCGGCGGCGTGCATTGCGTCGACACGCAGGAGGACTTCAGTGGCGTGCTGGTGGAGGTGACCGGGCTTGTGCCTGGCGGTGCGAGCGCCGTCTTCCGCGCCAGCCTCGACCCGGTGCTGCCACCGCCGCTCGAGACGAGGGCCTGAAAACGAATACTGCAAGGCCGGGGCCGCTGGATTTCTTTTTTAGGTGATGCCGCTGCAGCTCGACACGATGGCGCCGCTCTCGCCGGGGTCGCCCGAGACGTGGCTCGTCGACACCCCGAGCGGCGCCGTGCTCGGCGTCGTCTTTGCCGACGGCAAGCGCCGCTCGCTGCTGATGCGCGAGCCGCTGCCTCGGAAGAGGCCTGACGCACACTAATTGATCGATTCGTCAATACCTGCTCTATAATTAGGCGCGAGCCGCTGCCTCGGAAGAGGCCTGACGCACACTAATTGATCGATTCGTCAATACCTGCTCTATAATTAGGCGCGAGCCGCTGCCTCGGAAGAGGATCGCAGAGCCTCCCAGTTTCGGCGCCTGGAAGGAGGGGGCGGAGTGGAGCGAAGCGTCGGGCACGCGGTACGTCGGCTTCTCGGGCGGGCTCGCCTGGCTGCAAGACTTTTACTCTGGCGACGTGACCGCCGTCGCCGCGGACGGCACCACGCACCGCATCCGCAACCGCTGAGGCCGAGGCTCCGGCTTGGCGGAGTTGGCACGCGGCGGGAGCGGCGAAGGGGGCGTGTGGCCCCTCAGATGCGGACGCTGCGGCATGACCATGGGGCGGGGGAGGAGAGTCGCTTCTGAGGCGCTCGGAGGTGCACGGTGGCACGCGAAGGCTCCCACCGCGTGTTTGGCCTTTGGCGCGGTCGACACTGGCGCGGTCTTGCGGTATCCGTCGGTCGCCCGCCCGTGCGAGTGTGGAGTCGAGGGCGACTCGGCGCGGGTGGCACGGCCCAATTTGGCCAGGCACGAGGTGTGTGGGCGCGAAAAAACAGGGACAGCCCTCTTAAAATTCACTCCGGTCTCCGCCGCCCGCAGCGCGCAGGTTGTTGCTCGCACAATGGACAATGCTCGTAGGACGTGTCAGCTAGGGGTAGGGGGTGCGGGGACACCCCTACACTACCCGCTGGGACCCGGACGCCAGCACACACGGCTAGATTTCATGTGGTGTGAGAAAAAACGTGTGTGTCTCGCGCCTTGCGGGGGGGGGGAAACGCAACGCAGGCCGGCAGCACTACCCCGACTCCAGCCCCGGGCTCGAACGGCGGCGGCGCGATAGCAGCGCGATGCTCTCCGCATTCCTCCTGGCCGCAGCCGCATCCGTTGCCGCGGCGAACCCGACTGTCACGTTTGACACCTCCATGGGCTCCTTCTCAGCGGAGCTCTACCTCGACCGCGTGCCACGAACAGTGCGCGCCTATTCGCTTGACACGCCTGGCCCGACTCTTGACTCTTGACACACTGACACATTTTGCAGACACGCCTTCGGGAGTGGGCTGTGCAGGCGTCAAACTTTGTGGACCTGGCAAAGTCGGGCTTCTACAACGGCCTCCACTTCCACCGCGTGATAGACGGCTTCATGAACCAGTTTGGCTGCCCGCACAGCAAGGACCCGAGCTCGACGCGCGCGGGGACGGGCGGGCCGCCCGACGGGACCTTTGTCAACCTCGCGACCGGCGCGACGGAGACGCGCTCGAACGGCGGCAACATCAAGGACGAGAACATCTCTCGCGACTCCAACGTGCCGTACAGCCTGTCGATGGCAAACACGGGCGCGCCAGACTCCGGCGGCTCGCAGTTCTTCATCAATGTGGCCCACAACTCGAACCTCGACTGGTTCTCCGGCGGCTCCTCCCGGCACCCGGTCTTTGGGCGGGTGACTGCGGGCCGGGAGGTCGTCCTCGCCATCTCTCGCGTGCGCACGAGCAACGACAACCCGGCGGCGCCCCTCGTGAAGCGCGAGGCGGCGGTGGAGCCTTCTCGGAGCCTCCTCGGAGCCTCCCGTAGGTGGTCCCCATCGTGATGCGCAAGGTGACGGTGGGCGGACTCAACCGGAGCGAGAGGCAGCAACTACCTTCCTAGACCTGTCCTAGACCTGTCCCAGACCTGTCCTAGACCTGTCCTAGGCAGCGGTACCGCAGCAACAAGGGCGACAAGGAGGGCGAGCTGTGAGCGAGTCGCGGTGAGCGCAGGCCGTGCGCGAGCTGGTGTGGGGGAATCAGCGGAGGGAGGGAGGCACTCATCGGTAGCCGCGCGGGCTCCGTGAGGCGCGGCGGCGGCGCTGGCGCGTGAAGGCTGAGGCGCGGCGGCGGCGCTGGCGCGTGAAGGCTGAGGCGCTTAGTGCGTGCGGGTCGGCGCGGGCGCGACAGAGAAGGGCGAGCCAGCAGCGACGAGAGGCCACAGCACTTGGCCACTTCAATAGTTATACTCGCACTCCAAGTGCACTTGTTCTCCGCCTGCGCGTATACGTTGCGCCGCGGTCGCGTGCCGCGCGCTCTACACTCTAGTTTCTCACACTTCACTCCACATGTGCATGTGCATGTGCGCGCCAAGCCCCACGCCGCCGCGCTGACCGGTCCTCCGGTCCCGGTGTCCGCGCGGCTGCGCGAGTCCCGCGAAAGCTGAGGGACCGGCGGGGTCGCGGAGATGGTGGACTTCGACTAGTGGCGGGGATATTTTGCTTTTTGGCTGATCGGAGTGCATTTGGAGGGGAGCACTTGGAGTGCTACTCCGATGTCCGAACTCCGAAGATGGAACGATCACACTTCTCTCGTCGTGGTGGCTCCCGCGCGCCCGCGCCGCCAGCCGCGCGCGTGTGCCGTGTCCCCGTGGCCCCGTGACTTGCCCCCCGTGTAGAGCCGTTGTGATTCGTCCATCCCCTCCCCCCTAGATACAAGATACAGCTCCGTAGACACGGATCACACACACGGGTGGGACAGGGTGGGTCACAACGAAGCACGAGAGCGTGCTCGAGATGCAGCAGCGCTCTGACATCCTTCTCGCGGCGAGGGCTAGGGCTCCACACAAACACACGAGGCGGCGTCGGTTGGTCGAGGAGTGTCTGGCGTGAAGCGACTTGTCCTTTCGCCTGCGGAAACGACCAGGGACCCCTAAGATGTCACCCCGGAAGCTCCGACGAGTTGCCATTCAGTGGGTCCAGTGGGTCACCTGCGCACTGCGCGATCTTCGCAAGGCTACGCCGGACTGGGTGAGCCCCCCCCCCCCCCCCCCCTCGCGCGCCGGCTGGCTCATCGAGCGCGCTCTCTGGCGCTGTCCGGGCCACGCGCGGCGCCGCGCGTGCCGCGCGCCACTCGCCGCGGCAGGCAGTACAGCGCCAAAGCCGCCTCGCCAACACCGCACACAGCACCAGCATGCTGCCCACCAGCGGGCAGCAGAGTGCTGCACCGGCGTGCAGCAGACGCTGCGGCGCTGCGGCGCCGCCTCCCCGCCCTGTCCACGGAGCAGGCGCGCGGCGGCACGGCCCTCCACCAGCTGCAGGAGGTGCGCATCTCCCAAAGGAAGCACCAGATGCTCCCTCAGCACACGCAGCTTTGCGCAGCGCAGCGCACGGGCCACGCCACGCAAAGCCGACCCTCAGTCTGCCCGAGAGCTGTCTGCGGAAGGCCTGGCAAGCGCGCAATCGCCTCCTCCGCGGCCATGCCCTCCGCGCGGGCGAGCGAGCAACGCGAGAGTGGAGGTGATTCTATTTTCTTTTTCTTTTTTCCAGTTCCCCTCATCGGCGTCCGTTTGTTCGGACCGCCAGCTCATGGCGATGCCTCCTCGACGACGCGTGAGCTTCGGGCCGCATGACGAGCACGACACCGAGGAGAGCAAACAAGAAGTGCTGCCACGTCAAGGCGCGCAGCAAAGCTACGCTCGAGGCTTCATGGCGTCGTCGCTCGCGCCCGCGCTCGCCGCCATCTTCACAAACCCAGTCGAGGTGGGAAAGGTGCGCCAGCAGCTGGACAAGCAGCCAGCGTCGCTGGTGGCGACGCTGCGCCACGTCTGGCAGTCGCACGGGCTGGCAGGCTTGCAGGCGGGGCTGCAGATCTCGGTCCTGCGCGAGGCGTCAAAGTCCTTTTTCCGCATCGGCTGCTTCACGCCGATCCTCGACCAGCTGCACGACGCAGCGCAGGGGCCCGCGCCGCTGTACAAGCGGATGGCCGCCGGCATGTCGTCCGGGGCGATCGCCGCCTTCGTATGCAACCCGATCGAGCTCGTCAAGACGCGCCAGCAGGCGGAGCATGCCTAGGGGAAGGTTCCTAGAAGGTTCCTAGAAGGTTCCTAGAAGGAGCCCGATTGAGCTCTTCAAGACGCGCCAGCGGGCGGAGCGGGCAGACCAGTAATAACCACTCGTGGTAAGGCGGCAGGGGGGTGGGGCTCGCTTGCGCGCGAGCTTTGCCTGCGCAACAGTCGTGGTGCTAGTCAGCGTGTGAGACGCGCCAGCAGGCGGGGCGGGCAGAACAAGCACAAGTGTTCAGCCAGTCAGTCAGTCAGCGTCACTCACCCCCACAAGGACCCACTTGCACCGAACAGCACGAGTCTAGTGCCAGTGAGCTTGTCGCGACGCGCGAGCAGGCGGCGGGCGGCGGCGCGGTGCTAGACGGCTTCCGACAGCTCCACGCCGCAGAGGGGCTCGTCGACCTAGACGCGTGGAGAAGACGCGGGGAGACGCATTCTTGTATTCCGACTGGCGCTCGAGGGGACACGTCTTCATCTGCGCTCGACCGTGTTCGGCCGATCTCACCGTGTTCGTACCCCTCCTACTCGCTCACGCAGAGCTCTGAACACACGGCGCGGGACCGTACTCCCGCCCTCACGCTGGTGTGTACTCAGCACGTAGGCTGGTGGGCATGTGGCGCGGGACGGCCGTGTCGATGTGCCGGTCTCGCGCCCGCGTAGAGTTGAAGAGCAGACTCTCTCGCACACCACTTGGCACGGGACCGGCGCGCGCTGCGACCCCCAGAGCGGGAGACAGCCTCGCGCCTGCTCCAGCTAGCACTCGGGGGGGGGGGGGGGGGGGGGGCACGCATTCCCTGCCTCAGTAGTGTCTTCACGCGGTGCTCCCCACGGTGTGCCTGAACTGCCGCCCCACCTTCCAGGTCCGCGATGAACCAATGAGTGTGTAATTAATGATGAGAGACAATGGCGGCGCCGCACCATCTACGAGTGAAGCGATTGATTCATTCATTCATAGGTCGGCGATGGTGACGGGGCCTCACCTCACCACCTACACCGCCCTCAAGGAGGCGGTCGCGGCGCGCGGTTGGCGCGCAGGCCTAGAAGCGGAGTATCTCCCCATATCTCCCCCCGTATCTCCCCATATCTCGTGAGCAGGAGCAGCGGGCCCTAGAAGCGGAATACGCCATTCTTGTAGTCCAAGCAGCGCTCGAGAGGTTACGCACATGCACTCGGCTGTCTTCGGCCGCATTCCGCTGTATTCACCGCATCCGCGCACCCCTCGTACTCGCTCGTACTTGCTCGTACTCTCGCGATGCCACGAGTGCACGGCACGTTGCCGCACCCCCCGCCCCGATGCTGTGCCATTATTATGGTAGGCTAGCGGTCGCGCCTCCATAATTAATAGCTGATCACTAATAGGCTACTGCTAATTAATAGGCTCGCCGACGCGCCGCCGCTGCACATGCTCGCCTCGCTCGCCGGTACCTTCTACCACACTACCCACGGACCTGAACCCGCACGGGTTCGATACTCTGGAGGTATGGTACTAGGCGCCTTCGCCGGCGTCTGCTGCAACCAGCCGCTCGACGTGGTGCGCAACCGGCTGTACAACCAGCCCATCGGCCCGGACGGGCAGGGCACGCTCTACGCCGGCGCGGTCGACTGCGCCAAGCAGCTCCTGCGCAGCGAGGGGCCTCTCGGGCTGTACCGCGGCTTCTCGTCGCACTACCTGCGCGTCGGCCCCCACTACGTCCTCACCTTCACCTTCCTCGAGCAGATCAAGAAGGCGCTCGGCGCATAGCCCCCCCCCCCCCCCCCCTCCCCTGCAGCTTGGCCCTCGACCACAGCCCGCCCTCCCTCGGCGGTCAGCGTGGAGCGCTCTGCAAAGTTGTATACAGAGACCGAACAACAGCGGAAAGGTGTTCTTTCAAGATAGCTCTGTCGTCTGTGTGTAACATCGCTGACCGGAATGCCCTCTCCGGTGCTTGTCGGAACCGACTACTTTACCGTGTACCGATGCGCATGCGGCAGGATATCCTGTTTTAAACTGCCCACATCGCCACGAGTCGGTCTTCGACACAGGTCTACTCTAGTCGGTCTCTGCCTCTCTCCGACCCAGGCGCGCGACACTTCAGCGTACACGTAGGTTTTTCATGATAGAATCTGTGTTGTGTGGGCAGATTTTATGTGCGGTGGTGCTAGTGACCGCCGCGCGACCTCGTCGGCGAAGCCCTCGTGCTTCCTTGATCACTCGAGATCACACGCACTCATTGGTCCCAGGCTAGCTCACCCGCCACTGCACCCCGCGCCCCTGTTAGCGCACGTGGCGGCCGGGCAAGAAGCATTCCGATCCACCCGCCGGCAGAGCGCCCAGCGACAAGCACGGCCCTTGTCCACACCGACGACCGCGCACTCCTTGAGCGCCGGCCTCGCCGCCGTCACCGCCACCCACTGGTGTGTGTGCTGGCGCAGCTCACGTCCGCTGCACGTCGCGGGGGCGGGTGCCGCCGCCGCCGCCGAAGGGCCGAGCCACCGTTCACGGTACCTCGCGTACAGCATTGCGTCGTGCGGCGCGGCGTCGCGGACGGCAGCGCGGAAAGCCGTGTCGCCCTCCGCCGTCCACGTCTTGCCGTCGCTGAAGCCGCTGCGGTTCCGCTTCGCCGCAAACTCGGGGCGGAACCACGCTGACTTGTGCGTGTGGCCCGGATCGACGCAGTGCGGCGGCATGGCCCCACTTTTTTTATTTGGACCACGCGGGCAGCCGAGGCGCATCCTGCCGCAGAGCTCGCGCATGAAGGCGGGGAGGGCCTCGGTCACGCCCACCACGTCCACCCTCCGCAGAAGCTCCTCTGCCTTTTCGAGGTCGGTCTTGTTTGAGCCAGGAAGCACCCCCTTGGCCAACAGCCACGTCTGCAGGTTTGGGTTCCGCGTCGCAAACTCCGCCGCCGAGGCGCACTCGCGAGTGTACTTGCCCGGGTTGGGGGCGCGAAAGTCGTGGCAGATTCCGGGGCCGTAGTAGAGCCACCAGCTCGCGTAGAGTGCGACCGGCTCCCGCAAAGTGAGGGCCAGCAAGACGGAGGCGCGGAAGCGCGCGTCCGCTTCGATCAAGTCGATTGTCTGCTGCCAAGCCTTCAAGTGCGGCCCGATGTGGAACTCGACGAACGCGCCTAAGGTGAGGTGAGGTAGACCTCCCCCCCCCCCCCCCCCCCAGCGGTGGTTAGCGAGGGCCAGGCAACCCTCGCAACTCCACGTGTTAAAGGACAGGAGCGCCACGGCATTAACGGCCCAGTGCGCGTGTGTGAGCGCGCCTCCGAAGGGAGGCGGAGGCCACGAGCGCAGGTCCGCGACCACGCGCCACGGCTCGCCTGTGGCCGAGTGAAGGCCGGGTCTTGGCCGTATTAGGCCACATCTCGGCTCCATCGCGGCCACATCGCGGGCAAATCTCGGCTATAGCTTGCTTCGCCACCAGCCGCCCGACAGGCCTCGCTTGGCGGTGCACCCTTCGCGGCGCCAGCTGGGCAGGCACTTGATGTCTGCGCGGCCCGTGTAGCCGTAGAACCCGAAGGCCGGCTGCACCTTCTCGTGCGCCTCGAAGGCGAGCCGCAGCGTCGTCCCTCCCGTCTTCTCCAGGTGGCGAAACACCAGCACGCTCGGCCGACTGCCGACCAGCTCTCCCGCCGCCGACTCGCCTCCCCACGCAGACCGCTTCGCCGCGCCGCCCGCGAGTAGCTCCGACCGCCGGTCCGCCCGAGCCCGCATCCGAGCCGCTGCGGTGGACGGAGGCAGCAGCTTGCTGCGAAGGCGGCCTCGTCTCAGCGTGCCCCGCCTCGTCTCGGCCACCTCGGCCCGACGTGGAAACGGCGGCGCGGAGCAGCCGCAGCGCTGCTCGGGGCTCGTTCGTGTGACGAAGCCGCACGAGACCAGCACGCCGTCGCATAGAAAGTCGCCGCGGCAGCCGCCAGAGACCCAGACAGTGGACGTAGATCCGTTGCGCTCGCAGCCAAAGCTGCGTGAGTCGCAGCGCGCCAGGAAGCTGCGCTGCCGTGCGAGGGAGACTGCGCACGGTTCACCCATCGTTGGAGGTTTTGGCAAGTTGGGTTCACCATTGTCTGGGTTCAGGGTGAAGGGCGGGCATGCCGGGTCAAGCTGAGACTAATGATCGAGGCACCAGGGGTCGTTCTTCGCCCACAGCAGCAACTGGCAGAGCAGGCGCAACGACGCCCGCCCGACTGGGTGGCATACACAGACGGGTCGGAAGACCTAGGGAAAGCAGGGTGGGCCTATACAGTACTCATCGGGGGCGACGCAATCGGCGATAGGGGCGCGTCGCTGGCGAGCGAGGGCTACGGGCCAGTTGTCACTTCGGCGGCGCACCCAGCATACCTCGGCGCGCGCAGGCATACCAACAACACGGCGGAACTAACCGCCCTAGCCGAGCTCCTCCGGGCTCTCCTGTCCTCGTCACCGCAACGAGCGGGCTCACGCGGAGTAGTGCGGACCGACAGCGAGTACGCGGCGGCGTGCATGATGGGGAGGGTGACCCCCAAAACGAACAGACAGCTAGCGGAGCGCCTTCGTTCCCTCTAGAGTGTGGAGATGTTTTGTGCGGGATCACACAGGCCCGAGTCCCTAGTGTCGCCGGAGCAGGTAGCTCCCTTTTTGAAAACTGAACAGTTTTCTTTTGGACACAACCAGCACCCAAAACATACAAGCCCCTCTCACAGAAAAAGAGACCATGAAAATCAAACAGCGCCGCACCGGCTAGTGACTAAATCTAAAAGCAACACACCGCAACTAATGGACAACGGACGTCGCGGGGAAATCTTGAGGGGAGTGAGGCAGCGTATGAACAGGAATGTTGACGGTTTTGGACCGCCAAAAGTAGTGGACAAAGGTGCGGGGCGGATGTGCGCCCGGCTCTTGGTTGTGCTCGCATCGCACAGGTCTTCTCAGGAGTGCAACGGGGGCCCCTGCCCGCTAACCTCGCATCCAGGCATCCGGTTGCCGTCTTTCGTCGACACAGGCGCGGCGAATGGGTGTTTGCTTTCGTCGCAGATCTCAGGAGTGCCCTTCTTCGTGTAAATGCGAAGGCATGTGTCATTCCGCCTCCCGGACCCTGACTTCCTGTGGTACAGATGGCATGCGAGAAAACGGCCGGTCCACGCTGCAAACTGGTGGCGCACGTGTGGCTCGTTATGGTCTCCAATTTTCATGTTGGCAAAGACCTTGTTCTTCGCGTTCATACCCTTGTACAAGTCGTACGAGCATTTCGGAGATGTGCAGTGGTTGTGCTTTTTTCCGGGGCTGTCGTCGCCATTCGCGGTAAGGAATAAGGACGGTTTACGTGCCCATGAAGTGTTGTACATGCCCATGGAGTGGTTGGATAGGTTGATGTACAAGTCGTCACCGCCGTGAGAGAAGACCGTGGCCTTGATGTTGACACCTTGATAAGTCTCACCATCTTCAACATAAGATTGATTAGCGTCTTCAACAAATTTTGGCAGGTGGTGCGCTCCTGCGGAGTGCCCCATTGCGCCGACACTACCCCAGTCAGCCTTCAACGAGCGAGGTAAGCCAAGGTGCGTAGTAAGGCCCATTCTGGCCCACTTCATGGCGATGAGCAGGTCATTGTCCCTCTTGCATTCTTTGGACGTGTTTTCTATCCACGGCGAACCGTCGGTTTTGGGCGCAATGACGATCAGGCACTGATTCGCAACGCTCTCTAGCCACGCATCGTACCCCGTCCCATTCATATCTGCGTACTTCGATTCGTAACCAGAGGAGCCCCGGTGAAACATGACAACTGGGTACCCTTCATGAGGTGGCGGACCCTTTGTTGGCTCCGTTGGGTAGAATATCTTCGTCTTGGTCGAGCCATCGCCACACGTGTACCGAAGGTTGACGTCTCCCGTATTGAGGATGAAAGTTTCGTGTTTGTTGGCGCTGCATGGTGCCTGCTGGGAAACTGGCGGCGGCGGCGGTGGCGGCGGCGAAAAGCAATCGAGGATGCAGTCGGGGCGGAGTGCGATCGTCGCGCGAAAGAGGCAGCCAATCCCAGGGCTGTATGTGCAGGTCTTGCGCGAGTCTGCGTCCTCAGACTCGCCGTGGGTCGTCGCGAGCGTGAGAAAGAGGAGGAGATCTGCTTCATCGTCTGCGACGAGGGAGACACGGCGACGCCTTTACGGCCTTTGCCGGCCTTGAAGGATCAGAACAGTGGTTTTTCTTTTTTGAGAGTTGGATAGGGCTAGCGGCTGGCCGCTAGCCTCTGAGGAGGGCGCCCATAGACACCTCACATGACCCCACACACGGTCTTGTCCGGCCTCGCGGTCGGCGAGATTGCTAGAGGCGGAGCAAGCCTGCTCTAGTCTCACATGTTGCTTCCTGTCGTCTGTTGTGTTGTTGTGACCTTGTTTGTTCCTTTGGCACCTTGGAGTGCTGGGGGAGGCGACAGGGAGGATGTGGCCCTGAGTGATGTGTACGCCATCGCACCCCGCCCCGGCCCTGCAGGCCATCCCAGAGGGCCAGGCGAGGCTCCACACAATCCTGGGAGCGTGCTGAGCAGGCTAGGGCTCCCGTCGAGAACGCGCGGCGACGCACCTGGACAGTGAGTGTGTGAGTGAGTATTCTTGATACGAAACCACGACGACACACACCAGTCGACTCGCATCGGTTGCCTCCATGAACGGCGGAGCTACAGAGAGGGGCCGCCATCGCCGAAGCTGTGCCAAAGCATAACTCCAAAACCCGCAGCGGCCCGGGGGGCCTTGGGGGCAGCCTGCCGGACCGCCGCTGCACGGGGCTAGGCACCAGAAGATGAGTGGAATTGATGAATTGGGCCGGTGTCCGTGCCTCCCCTCTATACGTCAGAGTGGGACCTACGCCGCGCCGGGTAAGGGGCGCGCCCGGTCCTCGACGGAGCCGCGCGCCCCGAACGACCCAGGCGGCGAGTAGTCGTCCTCGAACCTTCGACATGTAGTTGCCCATAGTTAGCGCCCGCCCGCCCCCCCCCTCCGTCGCTTCGCAAAAGAAAAAACAAAATAAAAACAAGCAAAAGAGAAAGCGAAGCCCAAAACGATTGCGTAAACGGCGTCACAAAGCCCGCCGGTTTTGATCGACAATCGTGAGATTGACCGCCGTCGACCAGAGAATGGCAGACGATGCGTCAGCTTGTGCGGCGCTCGCGCCGCGCAGGCTGGCCCATCGAGGGCACTCTCTGGCGCTGTCCGGGCCAAGCGCGGCGCCGCGCATGCTGCGTGCCACTCGCCGTGGCTTGCGGTGCAGCGCCACTGCAGCCTCGAAAACGTCGCGCACAGCACCAGCATGCCGCCCACCAGGCAGCAGAGTGCTGCACCGGCGTGCAGCGGACGCTGCGGCGCTGCGGCGTCGCCTCCCCGCCCTGTCCACGGAGCAGACGAGCGGCGGCACGGCCCTCCACCAGCTGCAGGAGTTGCGCACTTCCCAAAGGAAGCACAGGATGCTCCCGCAGTTTACGCAGCTTTGTGCAGCGCAGCGCACGGGCCACGCCACACAAAGCCGACCCTCAGCCTGGCCAAGAGGCTGTCTGCGGAAGGCCTGGCAGCGCGTACGCGCCTCCTCCGCGGCCATGCCCTCCGCCCGGGCGAGCGAGGAGCGAGGACACAACCATTTCTGGAATCGTGTGTCCCCGATCCTCGCTTTTTTTTTTCGCCTCCGCGCCTCCCTTCAACGAACATTTCGCTGCCTCGCCTCTCCGCGAGCGCTGCGGACAGAGCGAGCATGGTGATGGAAGTGGTGCTGGGGGAGTACGGAGATGGGGGGGAGACGCAGGAGCTCACGCAGCAGCCCGACACCGGCCCAGAGACGACGCCACCAGCCCAGAGTGGCGGCGACGAGGCGGCGCCCGAAGCCACCTGGGGCCGGCTGATCTGCCTGGCGCCCGAGCCTGGGATCCACGAGCTAAAGCAGCGTCAGTGCGTCATGGGTCGCACCACCAACGCGCACGCGCAGATCCAGATCGACGACGCCCGCGTGAGGTGTGTGCGCGCGTCGCAGCCTGCTGCATCGCTGCATCACTCCCGCGACTCCGCCCGCGCGGCGGCGCCCCCGTCTGCGAGTGTCCCGCGCCCCGCCGACGCCCTGCACTCCGACGCCTCGCCCCGCCGACCCTCGCCGCTCCCCGCCGCAGCTCCTCGCACTGCAAGATCTTTCGCACGCCGGAGGGTGCGGTGCAGCTGCTCGACTGCTCCTCGAACGGGACGTACGTCAACGGCAAGGCGGTCGGCAAGTCTAAGCTCCACATCCTCTCCTCCGGCGACGAGATCGCGCTGCTCAACCCGAGCGCAAAGGCGCGACGCTGCCAAGACGCTGCCAAGACGCTGCCGAGACGCTGCCGAGACGCTTCTTCCGAGACGCTTCCGAGACCCTTCCGAGACGCTTCCGAGACGCTGCCGAGACGCTGCCGAGACGCTTGGGAGACGCTTGGGAGACGCTTGGGAGACCCGCTGCCGCTCCCTCACCGCCGCCTCCCTCTCCTCCCCTCCCTCTCCCTCCTCGTCCCCTCCCCTCCCTCTCCCTCCTCGCCGCCCCTCCCTCGCCGCCCCTCCCTCCCCGCTCTTCCCCCAACTCCCCACGCTTCTCCCTCCCGCAGGCACACGAGGCGGCGGGCGGCGGCGGCGGCAAGCCGACGCACTACCACTACCTCTACCAAGACTTGCGCCCCCCCACGGCCAGACAGCCGCCGCCGCCGCCGCGCGCCGCCGCCGTGCCCTGCAGGGAAGCGGCGCGCGCCTCGCCGCCGCCGCCGCCGCCGCCGGCCTCCTCCAAGCTGCTCCGCAACACGAGCTTTGTCGACGCTGGGGGAGGGGGCGGGCCGTCGCGGGCGGACTTTGAGGCGGTGGCGGCGCGGGGCGTAGCTGGGAAACCGCTGCCTGCATACCCCCCTCCCCACCCCT